AAGGCCCGATCGCGGGGGGGGGGGGACAATGATGTTGCTAACCACCCAGAGAGGGATTTAATTCTGTAAGAGGAATGAAGGGCATTCCCAAAGGGGAGGCTAATTAAACTGTGGGATTTGGAAGGGTGTGTGTGCTTGAGGACAGGGAGGGACGTAGGGAAAGGAAAAAGCAACACCCACGCGCAACCTTGGTGCAACGTGGACCCTTTCCAAGAGGAGTTCTTAACCTTTTGGGGGGGGGGGAGCAGGGATGGTTTTTTTTTTGAGGATCCAGTGAAAACAAGAAGTCCCCCAACTGGAGAAATGCATGTGACCCCGGACACCCCTCCGCAGGGTCTGTGCACCACAGGCTGAGAACTTCTCCTTTCCAAACTGGATTTCCACACTTTTGGAAATCCAGTTTGGAAATCCAGTTTTACAGCAGGGAAAAGTCCCCTTTTCCCCGCTGTAAAACCAATTGCCTAAAGGATNCCCCCCACCCCCCACATATCCCCCCACGGTCTCTCTTTCTCTCTGACCCACATCCACACACCGCCCGCCTGGAAGGGGGGGTTCCCGCTGTACCTGTGATCTCCCCCTTCTGCACCGTGAAGGGGATGACCAGGTTGAAGGGGCGCAGCATGGAGTCCGCGCTCTCCGGAGGGGCGACGGGTTCGTCTGTAGCCTGGGGAGAGGGGGAAAGGGGGGAAAGGGGTCGGAGTCGGAGAAGAGGAAACAGACAAGGAGGGGGAAAGAGGGGAAGAGAGCGCTAAGTATAGGCCAGGAGGAGGCGGGGGGGTTGAAAGAGCATCGAAGGACAAAGCAGGTGAAAATCACAGAGCAACATCCTCCAGAGAGTGCAAGGGGGGGGGAAGCTGGCTAAAAGGGAGGCACCGAGTGGCAAGGGAAAGGGGATAGTGACGGAATAAAGACACCCTCAAGGCAGGGGACTCAATGTGGTGCCTGGTGGCAGGAAGAAGAGGGTGCCAGCAGGAACAGAGACGTCCGTGTCGACCCAGCGTCTGCCTGCCGCACCAAAACATTTGGGAAAGGTGTGTCTCAACAACACACCAATGGGCCAGGACGCTTGGGAGTTTGGGTTGAGACGGCAGCCGCCCGCCCGGCTCCTGTTCTCAGCGTCTGCCGCACAGGCACCCTCAAAATGGACATCCTGCGATGGCTCGGTGGTGCTGCTCGGCGTCCCAAGCTTTGGGACGTCCCAGGAATGAAGCTGCGCCCTTCGAACTGGATTCCAGGAGCGCCCCTCGCAGGCAGACGCGGCCCAAACCGGAGCAGCCTCAGGGTGCTCGGCTCTGCTCGGCTGAGGTCCCGGAGAAAAGCCGGCCAGTTTCGTACCCAGATCTGGGGCAAAGGCTGGCACTCACGCCTGGCCTCCATCAATGGCCTTTTGCACATCCCAGGGTTTGCAAAAACAAAAACAAAACCCCAAAAAACATACACTCTATTTTATTTTTTATTATTTTGGACAGTCCGTTGTCCTCCCACAATTCCCACATTATCCCGCTGGGAGAGTCTGAGAGCCAGAGTCCAGAAAAGCACGTTTGCCCCCCTCTGCCTCAAAATCACCCCCCCCCCAAAAAAGAGGTTAGCGTGGAGGGGCCTGGATGGAGGAAAAAAAACCCAGGGAAATGCAGACACCCACACACACAAGCCTCTGGGCCCTCCGTCTCATGAGGTTTGAGGTCAGAAGAAAGGATTTTCCCTTCCCAGAGAGCTAGAGAGAGAGAGAGAGAGAGAGAAGAGGGAGTCAGCGGGAGCAGAGGACAGGCTAAGGGGCCAAGGACAGGGTCCTGGTACCCAGGGCGGGGGGTATCCGCCGCCAGCGTGGTGCGCCGGGAAGGACGGGTGGAGCTGCTCGGTGTCACGGGGCTCCTCGACGTGAGGGATTGTGTCACAAGCCTGGGTGGGAAGGAAGGGACACCTCAGCACGGTGGGTAGAGAGTACCGAACGAAGCAGCAAGGGATCGCTCTGCGCCCGTGGAAAAGGAGACGCCAACAGGCAGAGAAAGAGCCTGGGGTGTTTTCCCCCTGACTACTTCCAGAGTTGGACTCTCAGGGCTCCCTCTTTCCTCCTTCTCCCTCTGATACGGCTTTCCATTCCAGCTTCTCCTTTGAGAAAGAGCCGCCCACAAGCCTGCCTGCACAGAAGCCACCACTAGGGGGCTCCTCCGCCTCCGTTTAGGGCTCTTTATATTTTGGCATTATCGATCAACAATTTGAGAAATTGTGACATTTTCTTTCTTTCTTTCTTTCTTTCTTTCTTTCTTTCTTTCTTTCTTTCTTTCTTTCTTTCTTTCTTTCTTTCTTTCTTTCTTTCTTTCTTTCTTTCTCTCTCTCTCTCTCTCTCTCTCTCT